TGATCTTTATTGAGACCAGATTTTTTTGACAAATAGGAGCAGGTTTCGCTTCAGATGCTTCATATTTCATTGTACCCAGACCACACTCAAGCCAACCTGTGTCAGGTGCAGCTACAACCAAGAACAAAAGAGAATCTTCTTGTGTTTGACCGTAGATATAACACTGGTTCTTAGAAACCTTCAGTTTAAAAAAAGATCTGATGTAACTTACCTAAAGAGCAGCAAATACATCTAGCCAATCAGTGTTTGCCCTCTAGAAACGCCTATTCTCCAGAAACGCCCACTTTTGGCCTGCAGAGAACCCCTTCTCGAGGGAGGAGACGATGGGGTGGTGCTAATGACATGCAGACCAGTAAAGATGGATCACATTCACTCATTGTACCCACCCCCACCCCTCCAGTACCAGCTCACCCTCCTCCTCCTGGGTTCTGACAAAGACCAAACCTTTAAAATGGTTGCACAAATCTTGGTGTGGTTCTCAGTTCTGAATCAATCAGAGGCTGAGTGTTCATTGATCCTGTGTGTGCACGTCTAAGACTGAATGAAAATGACTGTGTTGTCTCTGTGCGTGCACACCACTGTGGATGCACACATTGTAAACTCATTAAAACAGTTTTCTGTATATTTGAACTAGGGCCAATCAAGTGTCATGAAGAAGCTCCTCTAGAAAAATGTCACCAGAAACTGGTTTTGCTGTGTGTTTGTCAAAAGTGTTGTCCTCTCCCTACATTTATGGTAAACATGCCTCTGTTTAATTTGTTTTGTTTATTTTTGTTGATTGTTTTTCTTTTCTTTGTTGTTATTGCCTGGTTTAAACTTTTTTTTTCTCGGCTGCTCCCTTCTTCAGGGTCACCACAGAGAACAAAGTCGCACAAAGGCTTGGTGATTGTTTTTACACTGGATGTTCTTCCTGACTCAACCACAGACACCGAGCTACCACAGCTCTCTGTGTGGAGCAGAGAGCTGCCATCTAGGGTGCCCGGGGGAGCAGGTGGTGGGGGTTAAGGGCCTTGCTCAAGGGCCCAGAATCGGGCAAATGAGGGTGGAGGCAGGTGTGGGTGCTTCACCTTCCTCACCCACATTTAGATGTTGTCGGTACCGGGAGTTGAACCAGCAATCTTCCGATCACAGGCCCACCTTCTCTAACCTCTGCGCCACCACTTCCACTTCACCTGGTATAAACTAAACCTTAAACCCTTATATTCTGGTAAAAAGTAAAAATAAAAAACTTTTTTTTAATTTTAGACAAAATTTCAAAATGTTTTCAGGAATGTTTTTGTAAAGGAAGCACTTCTTCATGACCACAGGTCTACAGGTCGTGTCTCACTAGTTAGCTAACAGCATTACAAGGGAGACCCCAGAATGTCTTGAGACGTTTGTGAGTAGGGGTTGAACGACTACATAATTTTAAAACTCGACATTAACATATTAAAACTCGAGTAGAACTCAAGTGTTTGATGACATCATAGGATCTAAAGAACCAAAAATAAATAAATTAATTAAACTGCAAAAAAGGTCATTATTTACAAAAAAAGACCAACAAAACATTGGGAGAGTATATTTTGCTCCTACCGTTTATCATACAGCACATAAGTCACAGGAAAAACTAAACTATTAGTTTTTATTATTAAACCGCAAAAGTGAAAGAAACGTGTGGCACGTCAAAAACGAAACTAAAACCAGTGGGGGGGGGGGGGGGGGGTCAACCACCCCGCACCACCGCCAGCTCTGGTGCACATTAGGTTTAGTTTTAGAGATCAATATGTTTATAGGTTTAGAGATTCATATTTTTTGCTTTTTGTTTGTGAAACAAGGTCAGAGGAAGCTGGTTCTGGTTCGGTTGATTGGACCCGGTGTTGCACCATATTCTGTGACCTGCAACAGTGCATGCAACACTGCCCCCTACGGTCACAATATACGGTGGTCACAGAATATGGTGTAGCACCGGTTCGCAACGAGCTCCAAACAGTCAGGAAGTTGATTAATTTTCGGTTTCCTTACGGTAGTTGAACCAGAAGATTCATCTTTAGTGAAATATTTCCAGACTATTGATGTATTTCTACCTGTTTGTCAAGACTGGGCCTGCACTGCTCCATCCGTCTGCTTGGAGGAATGGAGGAATCCATTTTGTGACCCGCTCCTGGTGCGGATCACGTGACGCAATGACGTAACGGCGACGTAATGACGTCACCACGAATACTCGACGTGAAATTAAAAAAACTCGATAGGTGTCCTAGGAATCCATGTGTAGTTTACTCGAGTAGTCTGTTAAAGCCCTATTTGTGAGGCTTTTCAACTGACTCCTGGGAGTCGCACAGGTGTGCAGTCCTGTTGCTTGGATTGTAACCATCATCTGCCCTTGTTCTGGAGTCAGGTCTCAGAGCAGCAGCTTGAGCAGGGAGGTCCACACATCTCTTTTAAACATCCACCTCTTCTAGGAGGACTCCAAGGTGTTCCCAGACCAGCTGAGTCCTCAACTGGCTCCTCTGGGTCTGTCATGAGCAGCAGCTTTATTCCAAGTCTCCATCCATCTTCTTTTTCGGGTTGTGGGGGTTCACTGGTGTCCATATCCAGCAGTCACTGTGTGTTAGACCCTGGACAGGTCTCCAGTCCATCACAGGGACACATGGAGACAAACAAGACAAACAACCATTCAGTCCCCCTCTCTCTCTCTCTCACCTAGAGACAATTTAGTTACCAGTCAGGTTAAAGCCCCCAGTATACTCCCGCGTACGTCCTTACGCAGAGGTACGCATGTACGTACGCGGAGGTACGAGCGTACCCCCCAGGGCATGTCCGTGCAAAGCTCAATTGTTACCACCGCGTACGCGGTGTCGCACAATAAACTGCCCAGCGAGGGACTGTTTTGTATGCGACACCAATGTATTAAATTCCCCTTCTTCATCTCTGATCTGGCCTTTCCTTTTGATTTTGGCCAAGAGGCAGTGATCTCTTCCTCCTCCGTTGATACCATGACTGAAATGGTGAGAAATGAAGGAATTTGTCACAAGAGAATTAAAATCAGGTCCAGCATGGCTGCGGGTGGGTCTGGAGATTTCCTGGTGGGCTGGTCTGATGTGTGGGCTGCAGGGTCAGCACTCCCTGTTTTTTTTATTTTTTAGATCTTTTTATTAGCAACATATAAACACAGAACACCACTGAGGCGGAGGCTGCCAGTGCTCTCTTTTTTTTTTTTTTTTTTTCGACCTGTCAATCAGTCCAGTAGGCGTGTCAGCAAATGACCAATTGGCGACCTCAATTTGTCCCGAAGGTAAACGCCCCCTGTCTGTGAAGCTGCTCTGCAGCTGCTCAGGGTGTACGCTCGAGTACGAAGTCTGAACCCTCTGCGTACAGTACACGCGTACGGACGTACGCGGGAGTATACTGGGGGCTTAACATGTATGTTTTTATATGTGGGAGGAAACCGGAGTACCTGGAGAAGAGCCTTGTCTCACTTTACCGACTTCTTGTCACTGTCGGTGTGTCAGATGATGGTGCTAACAGTGCTGTGCATCAGTCTGGTTCTGTTCAGGCAGATATGGAGACAGAGTTGTTCACCTACTGCCGCAACCAAAGACAAAGATGAAAACGTTTTTGTCTGTGTGTGTGCGTGTGCATGCACTGCGGCCGACACGGCTAAAAACAAAACTAAAGCCCAAAGACAAATGTCCGACTCAAATAATTTTACAGATATTTATTAAGCTGAATTATATGTGGTAGTAGCTGAGAGTCATCTTTCCCACGAACTTCAAGGTTTAAGTGACTGGGCAGGAAAACTGCATGAAATTTACAAAATCTACAACTCTGTCATTTCTCTGCATGAGGTCATAATTTTAAAGCTGGAGTATAAGACGGTTAATTCTAAACTGCTTCATCCATCTTGTTGTTTTAGCTCAGCTTCACGATGCTTCTCACTGCGCACGCACACACACACAGTAGTTCTTTGTGCAGAACAAAAGGCGCTTGATCTATCTCTAAGGCTCACGGCATGCAGAGAGTTAATTCAGACTTGACATTTATTTATTTGTTTATTTATTTATTTATTTTGTGTGTGTGTTGTGTGTTTGTCTGGGTTGCTTTGATGATGTGTGCGATTAAGATGCCTGTCGTTTGTGTGTGTGTGTGTGTGTGTGTGCGTGTGTGTGTGTGTGTGTGTGTGTGTGTGTGTGTGTGCGTGCGTGCGTGTGTGTGTGTGTGTGTTAAATGTACATGTGTGGGGGTGGGGGGATGGGCGTCTCAGGTTTTGGCACACAGGGTTTCCCACTTTAACTAGCAGGGACTAAGCCGGACAGAGGAAGTAGGAAGGCGGGGGTTGAGAGGTTAACAGGAAAAGGGGTGTGGCTTAAGGTACTGTCCTTCTCTCCATGTTACTGTTTTTTTCTCTCACGTTGTCTCCCCCATGCCCTCCCTGACAGGGTTTCCTTAGGCCAAGTGCAGGGGCGGGTCCACACAGATGAAGCTAAATAGGCCCTCCCCTCCAGCTTGCAACAAATTACTCAGCCACCTAAAACTCTGAAGGCGCAGTCTAGTGGCCAAGTTCAAACACAAACAGCCATCAGGGCTTCATGCTGTTGCATTCTTCCAGGAAGGGGTTCCTGATGTGCAACAACTTCACCTTCAGTCCTGCCGTGTGTTCTGACGCGGACCCACAGATCAACCACAACGTTCGTTGGCCATTTCAGAGTTTGTTTTGTGTTGTGGTTTATTTTTTTGTGACAAAAGCATTTATTTAGAAAAAGGCCACAGTGAATGTCGATATGTCTACAGAGACAGTCCTGGGGACAAAGTGTCCCCTTTCTTTGAGTCCTGCAGAGGAGACACATGAGTTTGCTTCTTGAGGGCAAACACTGGGAAAATGATGTGCAGGGGTCCTGTCCTGTAAGATCCAGTCCAACTCTAAATAAATATCTGTTCCCACCAGCTTCTCCTGAATGATGGAATGAAGGAACTCTTGGGTTGGTAGAAAAGCAGTTCTGATGCTGATGTGTTTGTATTTGTAGGAGAGTTTGAAGAGGAGTCCAAGCAGCCGTCACTGTCTGAACCACAGAAACACCAGCTCAAACACAGAGAACTCTTCCTGTCTCGACAGTTTGAATCTTTACCTGCAACACACATAAGGTACGTATTTATATGAAAGCTGAAGCTTTAATAAGATGCCTGGTAAACAGAATAAACTATTGAAGAAATGTTCCTTACCACAAACATTTAACCCAATAAATGTAGTCATGTCTTCCATCTGAGCAGAGCCCCTCTCCTTCTTTAAATATTTTTATTGTTGTTATTCAGAAATAGTTATTAGCCAATAATGAAATTTCAAGACATATAGTTAATAATATCAAACATCAGATCTCCAAGTGTGAATGTTGCGTCTTCACTGTTTTACCATTTTAAAATCTGTCCTCATCAACACCGGGGGTGGGAATCTGATTACAGTTCAGAGCACTGCGACTCAAATATTAAATGATTAACAACGCATTTCACTTGAAACTTAAGGATCATGGCTTATTTCACATAAACACTGATTTATATATTCTTATGTCTGATAAAGAGTGCATACATGTAAAAAACCCTATTAATCACAGATCGCTGATCAACAAATGATGCTAAGTTAACATTCACAATGCCTTAGCTCAGCTTAGCTAATGTGATTAGCATCCCATTTAACACAAATCAAACATTCAATGACATTACTAAAAACTGGCTTACTACGGTAACTTCAGCTATTACAGACATACATTCTTTAGAGCTCAATAAAGTTAAAATGTGAAAACATTTATTGCAACTGGTTTCTGCTACGGTATCTTTGTTGGGACAAACGGCACAATGCAGCAACTACTCTGCTGATTCTTAAAGTCATTAAAGTTTAAAACTTTTAAAACATTTAAAAATCTATTCAGAATCTTCTTGTGAGCAATACAATTAAAAGTAGGTTTTACCCACACCTATAATCAACATTAAATATATGTACAGGTTTTATTGAATGTTCATGACAGAATAAATTATTGCAGTGTTGCCTGCCTGGCCAGAACGTCTGGTGCCGTTGTTCTGTTACATTCAGGTAGTTTGGACTGTTAAAGCTTTATCAAAAAGATTAAATTACTTTGAGTACAACTGTACACTTTGCAGACTCAGGTGTTTATAAAGAGTATAATATGGGTCAAGTAAAAGAAAACTTATTGATTATTGTCTCCTATTGAGGAGCAAAGAGGGGGAATTGGATCCGTCTTGTGAGCTTGATGACTTTAAAAAATAAGTGAGGTACCAACTTACATTTTCTTGCGTGGCGGCTTCTAGGTGTAAGAAAAGTTCTCTCCTGCCTTCCTCCTGCTTTTGTTCTCCGTCCTGTGTATCGAAGCTTCTATTTACACATCTTCCGAATCATAAATTACTGTCATGGATTTGGTCAGCTGGGCTTTTAGCCAAATTGATTTATTGATTTATTTCAACCAAGCGACAGGGTCCTGGAGAACCCTCGTGCCCCGCTGAGACGCACGCAGCAGGGTACGTCGTGGATATGTTGTGCCTTTCTGTGTTGTCTCAGGAGGATGCCGAAGATCATTGGATTTATAATAGCAGGGTTTCTGCTTTTTGGCACTGTAGGATACCTATGTTATCGACTATTAAGGAAGACATTGGCAGCAGCTTCGGCCATGGCAAAGCTGCCGACCTTATGTGAAGGATCAGTTCGTGCTTCGAGCGCTCAGACTCAATTGATTTATACGAGCTCAACCGTAAGAAGATATTTTTGAGATTCCTCGGCCACTTGCGGCTTTGGATCTTGCCAGCATATTGGAATCGACCTTGGATATTGAAAGTACCAGTGAAACTCAAAGCTGACGAGAAATAACAGTCTGCCTGCATAAAAAACAAACAACTGTGGCTTATCTGAATCGGACTTCCCTGTTGGGCCTGGAAGCAGGCCAACTTATCAAATTTCTCCTGGGATGTGTGTAAACTAAGAAGACTTTGCTCTATCTCCACAGCAGCACGAACATGAGTCTGTGTGAGCAGATGAGAACGAATGAACACAGCAGCATGAAATAGATCAGCAGCCTGAGATCAGCAACATGGATAGTCTGCGCATATCAACAATCTTTGTATATTAAACTAAGCTAAACGAGGCTGTGGTAGCTCGGTGGTCAGTGCCTCGGTCTCATAATCCTGAAGCTGCAAGTTCAAGCCCACGTTCTGTTGGGAAGGGCAAAACAAAAATTTAAATCAGCTTTTATTTAAAATGAAAATACATTTACTGTTACTCTGGGTGCCTATGTAATATTGCATATTGGTTAATGATGATTCCATATTTATTAAATTATACAAAATAAAAAAAAAATTTTCGTCTGTTCCCTTCTGCAGGAGTTAAAGAGCGAACTCTCATAGAAAATATGTGGCAGTTGTTTTCTCTGGTTCTGATTAAAACATTTAAATTGCAGGAATGGTACAGCAGGAACGGTTTACCTTATATATATATATATATATATATATATATATATATATATAACTACTCTTATAACATTTTCTATTTTTCAGGGTCACTTGGCTGTGGCAGCCATCTTGGATTGTGTTGACGTAGATCTACATATAATCACTACTTCCTCCATCCACTGATTTCTGAGATATTTTGATATTCAAGATAGAGTTGCATTCGGGCCCAAAAAATCTGACCCGACCCGGCCCCAGCCCGTAGCCATGATTTCTCACCCGACCCGACGAATTAACAGAAATTACAGGTTCAAACCCCCCCCCAAAAAAATGACATTTTTAATTAAGCTTTGACTGCTTATATATTTATTAACGGTTGGCGGACGTGCGCAGCTGAGTAAAGGGGGCATAAGATCGGAGCTGAGGGGGTGTTTGTCCTTTCATGTCCGTCACAGCGCATTAAATCCCTGCTTCTGCCTGCATTCTGCATTATTCAGACATGGACCCTGCTCTGACATGTTGGATATTTTGGGATCTCACCTGTTTGGGTTGTTGGCCGCACGTGTCCGCTGATGCAATCAAAAGCCCAACACTAGCCCGGCCCACACATTATTATGGCCCGGCCCTAATCCGGGTTGGGCCAGACCGGGCTCCGGGTTTGTCACCCAGCTAAGCAACTTTACACATAAAATTGTTTCAATCAGTTTTGCAGATATTGAGTTACAGTGGGCGGGGTAGTAGCTGAGAGTCATTCCGAACAAATACTTTGAGGACTAACTAATTTTTTGCCATCAGCTACTCAGCTCTGTCAACAAAATATCTCATTGCTCACTGGACAGATTTTAATGAACTTTCATAACGTTATTACTAGAAGTACACCTACAACTGCAAAACCTTTGGCGTCAATTCAATTCAAGATGGCTGCCACAGCTGACAAACGGTGACAGTGGGCGTTGAATGGTGGTGTTTCCATCTCACCCGCTCTGTGCTGTTTCTGCAGGGGGAAATGTAACGTCACCCTCCTCAATGAAACAGATGTGTTGGCCGGTTACCTGGAGAAAGAAGTAAGGCCCAGTTTATTGATATTTGCCACCGGTTGAGTGCCGCATGTTGTTGAGACCTCGTGAAGACAGTGTCGAGCACACCACTCTAACCTTTGCTTCTTCTGTTCAGGACTGCTTCTTTTATTCGTTGGTGTTCGACCCTGTCCAGAAGACTCTGCTAGCAGACCAGGGGGAGATCCGTGTTGGTTCTAAATACCAGGCGGAGATTCCTGACAAGCTGGCTGAAAGTGAGCCGTTTATTTACAAAGCTCCAATTCACAACACAACTCACCTCAGGACACTGATCAGAAATCATTCACATGCATCTAAATGCCAATTAGTAGAAGTTATCTGTGCAAGGCAGCTAACTTGATTTGTATTTAGTGACTTTAAATGGAAAGATTGAGGTGCTGAACTTGTTCTGCTCGTCTCAGGTGAATCTGATCCCCGTGTTCTGGAGAAGATGGAAACCAAAGTGTGGGATCCCAACAACCAGCTCAAAGACTCGCAGATCGACCAGTTCCTGGTTGTTGCAAGGTAGCTCTTCCCTGCCATCTGCCACCGGGCTGCATCGCCAGCATCAGATCCTGTTACCATGACAACCTCCAAACTGAACATCAGCCATGCCACTTTTTCTTGAGAAAATCAGTTCATTGCTGCCTCTTTGTTCATTTAATTTGGCCTTTTGGTTTTTAGTTTCACAATGAGCTGATCACCCATGAAGTTCCAGCTGTGGGTGTGATGTGCGTTAATATAGCTCAATCATCTTCTCTTGGAGACACAGTAAAATAAAATGTTGCAGTGAGTTTTAACTTTGGTGGGATGTGTCATAGTAATGCTCAGATTCTGTGTTTGTGTTGTCAGTCACTTTTATGGTTTTTGTGAGCAGAACATGCATGTTGTGAACATGATAACCTGGAAAATAAGTGATTTCTGTTTGGTATGTGGCTGCATCTAGGAATAAGAAAGGTTCCTTTAGAAAACTGTGTTGTCACATCCAACTCAAAGAAGGCAGCTGCCATATATGTATGTGACCCAATCACCTCTGTCATTTGAGGAAACTATGCTTTCTACCGTATTTTCTGCTGTACTCGTCACACCACCCTAGAAGTCGCATCAGTCCAAATACGTCTAATAAAGTGGAAAAATCCATAAAAACGTTGCTTTGCCGTATAAGTCGCATCTATTATGCGTTGCCGCTGACTCATCACGTTTGTTACACTTCACCGCTGACAACCCGGCAATGTGAGCCGAAGCTGGAAATGTGGACCGGTGTTGTGCCGAAAATCAATTGACTGCCAAATGGCGACCGCAGGAGCATGCACAGAAGGACTTTAACAAGAATTTAACAATATTAACACTTAAAAACAATTTGTTTGCTCGACATTATAGTAAAGGTGTGTCTCAGTTGATCTTTTACTTAATAAATGCACTTCAATGGTCAAATCAGCTGCATCGAAATGAAGCTGATTTGACGGCTCTGTATGGCAAGCCGATTGTGTCATTAATAGCCACTTTTACCTATTACATGACACAACAGCATGTCATACTACTCAACTGCCATCTAGCTGCTGAAAATGGTATTGTTCAATATTTTCAGTCAGCATGAATGTAAACGGTCATATCTCAGCCAAAAATTGGTTTATAAATATGGAAAAAATTCATAAACATGTCTTTGGTGTATAAGTCACAGGACATTCAAATTATGCAAAAAACGCCTCTTCTAGGGCGATAAATACAGTAGTTTTTGTATTGGTTAAAAATATAGTTTCCTCTGATGATTGGAGTGGCCAAAGATTAATCTATGGTGGTCAAGGCCACCATTGGCCACCCCCTGGCTCCGCTATTGTGTCTGGTGTTGGATAAAATTGCCTCCTCCATTCGCCAGAATCTGCGCTGCCTTAGAAAAGTAAAAAATATGAACACCCATCTTTATCTACACAGTGTAACCCATTTGAATATCTCACACCAAAAACATTTAGGTCTCTGTTCAGTTCCAGTCCAGAAAAACACTCATCTCCAAAACTACAAACACTCACTCTTCTAGTCCCTCAGTGACAGAGGACTTTGTTGTACCGCTTCTTAAAATAACAAAGTTTGATTCTGAGGAAGTCCCACATCAGCTACCAATTTCATTCATCAGTCACTTACTCCCTCTGGTGGTGGTTCTTTGAAAGTCCAGCTCAGTGTCGTCGGTAACTGTTTTAGTTTCTCCCTGACTGGTTCTGATCTGTTTGTTGCAGAGCTGTGGGCACATTTGCTCGGGCCTTGGACTGCAGCAGCTCAATACGTCAGCCCAGCCTCCACATGAGTGCAGCTGCAGCCTCTAGAGACATCACTCTGGTGAGACGCTCGCAATAAACTAAAACCTTTGAAATGTGCTGTCTGGTGTCTTATCAGGTGGGTCCTCTGACTCCTCCCCTGAACGGCTGCTGTAGAGAGAACTGTCACTTTCCATTTTGATTTCATCTCCAACAAAACAAACAAAAACTGTTGAACCATCTGCTGTGTGAAGGCTGAGAGCTGAATATCTGCTGAAATGTATTGAAGAAACTAACTGTTTTGTTAATGCTAGAACAACCTGAATAAAAGCTAAAATTAGCTAAACAAAGCCTAAAAGCTAATACTGTCTGAACAGCAAAACTAAGAACTAAAACCAGCACAACAATAGTAAGATGCTAAGTTAGCTAAACAAATCCTAATTGATAAAACCAGATGAACAGTAGCTAAAAGATGAATCTGACTAAACAGTAGCCAAAAGCTCAAACCAGATAATACTACCTATAAGCTAAAACGAGTAAAACAGCAGCTAAAAGCCAAAGAAGAAACTATATGTTGAAAATTTCAAAGAGCATAAAGTTTTGGAGGATATGAAGTGTTTAATCTGCATTTATTTTATCAGAAAACATGTAGGTAAAGTTAATAATTCAAAGAGTGTAAAAGTTACAAAAATCTACAAAGCTGTTGCCGTGATGTCCTGAATTAGCTATATGTTATACTTGCATGGCTGAAACAGCTGAACGTAAGCTGAAGTAGGTAGAACCCATCCATTATCTTTACCCGCTTCCTCTTTTTCGGGCCACAGGTGCACATGTCCAGAAGTTTCTGTGCAAGAGGTGGGGGACACCCTGGACAGTTCTCAGTCCATCACAGGGACACCCTGGACAGTTCTCAGTCCATCACAGGGACACCTGGACAGGTCTCAGTCCATCACAGGGACACCTGGACAGGTCTCAGTCCATCACAGGGACACCTGGACAGGTCTCAGGTGTAATTCTGTGTCACAGGGACACAGAATCTAAAACAACAAATGACAGAAACTCAAAACAGAATAACATCTGTGTGAATGCTGACTCAGCTGGCTCTCTTTTTGTCTTACCTCTTGATTTATTTATTTATTTATTTTTTTTACTTCTTTGTGAAAAGATATATTTTAGGGGAAAACATCTTCCATCCATCCATCCATCCATTTTCTTTACCCGTTTGTTCCATTTTGGGTCACGGGGGTCGCTGGTGCCCATGTCCAGCAATCACTGTGCGAGGGGCGGGGTACACCCTGGACGGGTCGCAAGTCCATCACAGGGACACATAGAGACAAACGAGACAAACAAACATTCACTCTCTCATTCACACCTAGGGACAATTTAGAGTTACCAATCAGCCTAACATGCATGTTTTTGGTCTGTGGGAGGAAACCGGAGTACCCGGAGAAAACCCACGCATGCACGGAGAGAACATGCAAACTCCACCCAGAAAGGCCCCAGGACCGGGGTTTGAACCAAGGACCTGCTCACTGAGAGGCAGCAGCTCTACCAGTTGCGCCACCGTGCTGCCCGGAAAAACATCATAAAACATGGAATTTAAAAACATTGTTGAACGTAAAAACTGATTTCGTAGGGCCTTATAGTGGACAGTTTTTATTTTAGACAGTAGTCTACGTTTGAATAAACACGTTATTAGTTACCGGTAAAATGAAAGTTAAACAGGAATGTATCAATGAATATACCAATCAAAGCAATTTACTGTTCATGTGCAATAAATGCAATACCAGCAAACAAAATTAAAATTTGTGATCAATAATTCTGGTCAGTTAAAACAGTTTTTTAACCCTTAATGTCCCATTTCCATTCATTCACAACAAAATTATTATTTTTGTCAGTATGTTTTGCGTATTGTATACGTTTCTGCTAAGCAGGACTTACAGAAACATTCCTGTATTGAACATCATGACCAGCTTGTCCTCTTCCTCTCGTCCAGTTCCATGCCATGGATACCCTGCAGAAGAACGGCTACGACCTGGCCAAAGCCATGTCCACCCTGGTTCCCCAGGGGGGCCCGGTGCTGTGCCGGGACGAGATGGAGGAGTGGAGCGCTTCAGAGGCCATGCTGTTCGAGGAGGCTCTGGAGAAATACGGCAAAGACTTCAACGACATCCGCCAGGACTTTGTGAGCATCCTCATCATTTTGAAACGCCCATCGTCCGTCTGCAAACTTTCTCTTTTTCCACCCATAACTTCTGAGCCGCTCAGGATAATTTAACAGAACTTCTTACACATAGTGTCACGCACAATTTCTATCACCCCATCTCCAAAATCAAGGTCACAAATCAAGGTCAAGGGGTGTACAAGGTGTTTGCTTGTCCGAGCTGTAACCTGAACCACTCGAGATAATTTAACGAAGCTTGATACACATTTGTGTCACCACTACACAGCATGCTGCATAACCTTAGCTCTAAGATCAAGGTCACAAATCAAGGTCAAAGGTTATACAAGGTCTTTGCTTGTCTGGGCCATTGCTATAGATTTCTGTATAATAGTTGGTGTGCTGTATGTGGCACTTGGACTTGTTGAACCTTGGTGTTAAATAGTGTTTCACTGCAAACAACAGAGAGAACACACCTGTGCAGGGTTTGGTGGCTCAGACACCACTGGCCGGGTGGCAGAATTTTGAGCAGGCTCCTCTGCCCCTTTTCTGGTTGGATGTATAAAAAGTAAATGTCAACAAGATCTAAAAGTCACTGATCTCTAGAGAAACGTTTGTGCTCTACTAAATAATCAATAGATAACGGATATACAGGTACATCGAAAAAAATAGAAGAACTTCCATATTCTTTGTCAATCATTTCAGAAAGTGAATCTCATAGTTTATGTAGATTCATTACATAGAGTGAACTATTTCAAGTCTTTATTTCTTGTCATTTTGATGATTATGGCTTACAAATAATGAAAAAAAAACTACCGGAAAGTGTCTCTGTAAATTAGAATCTTGTGATCAAGTTCCATATTAGGAACTCATGCACAGACTAATCCTAGACATGAGCTACAGATGTGGCATTCTTCAAGTCCAGCCACTCCTGAACCAGAGACAACATCAGAAGCCTCTTATCTGGGCTGTGGACTTCAGAAAACCCAGTGGACCAGCACCAGCAGAGGACATGGACCCAAACCATCACTGACTGGAAACTTCACTCTGGACTTCAACACCGTGGATTCTGGTCCTCTCCACTTTTCATCCAGACTCTGAGACCTTGATTTACAAATGACATGAAAATTTACTTACATCTGAAAAGAGGACATTGGGGAATGGTGGCACAGAGGTTGGAGAAGGTGGGCTTGTGACCAGAAGGTCACCGGTTCGAATACCTGGACTGACATCATCAAAATGTGGGTGGAAAGGGGGAAGCATGCACACCTGCCTCCACCCTCATTTACCCCACTCTGTGCCCTTAAGCAACGTCCTTAACCCTCACCATCTGCTCCCCGGGTTCCCTAGATGGCAGCTGTTTGCTCCACACAGAGGGCTGTGGTAGCTCGGTGGTCTGTGTGTCAGGAAGGACATCTAGTGTAAAAACGGTGTAGAATCTGGTGTAGAAATGTCCTCTCTGGTCCGGATGACATGGCGTCCCAGTGTTCCATAAAGAACTTCAAATCGTGACTCATCTGACAACAGAACAGTCTTCCATTTTGCCAATGACCCCTGGCCCAGTGCAAACGTCTGAGCTTGTGGAGCTTGCTTAGAAATGGCTTCCTCTTTGCACTGTAGAGTTTCAGCTGGCAACGGCGGATGGCACGGTAGATTGTGCTCACTGACAATGCTTTCTGGAAGTATTCCTGAGCCCATTCTGTTATTTTCTTGACAGTGGCATTCCTGTTTGAGGTGCAGTGACGTTTAAGGGCCCGGAGATCACGAGCATCCAGTAGAGTTTTACGGCCTTGACCCTTACGCACAGCGATTGTTCCAGATTCTCTGAATCTTTTGATGATGTTATGCACGGTTGATGATGATAACTTAAAAGTCTTTGCTATTTTACCCTGGGTAACACCATTCTGGTATTGCTGCACTATCTTTCTGCGCAACAATGGTGGAATTGGTGATCCTCTTACCATCTTGGCTTCTGAGAGACACTGACACTCTGAGAAGCTCTTTTTATACCCGATCATGTTGTCAATTGACCTAATTAGTGTTAATTGGTCTTCCAGCTGTTCGTTATATGCTCAATGTCCTTTTTCCAGCCACTTATTGCTACTTGTCCCAACTTTTTTGGGATTTGTTGACACTGTGTAATCTTGAATCAACATATTTTTCCTTTAAAATGTTACATTTACTCAGATTAAACTTTTGATCTGTCATCTATGTTATATTACGAATAAAATATTGACATTTGCCATCTCCACATCATTGCATTCAGTTTTTATTCACAATTTGTTTAGTGCCCCAACTTTTTTGTAATCCGGTTTGTATTTATGTAAACCAACCATTCCTATCATTTGAGGAAACTGCTTTCTAGTTTTTACATTGCTTAAAATGATACTTTCATCAAATGAATGGGGTGGCCGAATATTAATCTATGGTGGCCAAGGTTACCATTGGCCACCCCCTGGCTCCACCACTGCACCTGGTGGTGGATAAAATGTCTCCCTCCACTTGAGAGGATCTGTCACTCTGTGCTGCCTCGGACAGGAATAAATAAATAAATAAAACCTCCCTCTTTTCTCCTCCACAGTGTAACTCCTCCACACTTGAATATCTTACACCAAAAACATTTAGGTTTACTTACATTCCCTGTTCATTTCCAGTCCAGTAAAACACTCATCTCCAGAACTACAAACATTCACTATTCATATCCCTCAGTGACAGAGGACGTTGGTCTAAATCCTGTTATTCATGATATGTGAGGCTGATGAATGTTACCGATAAATGAATACATTTCGTAGTTTTTTAAAAATGTAATGAACTTTTGTTTTTTGTCCCCAGCTGCCCTGGAAGTCTCTAGCCAGTGTGGTCCAGTTCTACTACATGTGGAAGACTACTGACCGCTACATTCAACAGGTTCTACAGCAATCCACTCAACACCATCAATACAAATAAATGAGTATTTCCTCGGTTTATCCACAGTATGGGAGTTTTGACATTTCACAAATATTTTTCTTTTAGAAACGACTAAAAGCTGCTGAGGCAGACAGCAAGCTCAAACAGGTGTACATCCCCACCTAGTGAGTATCAGCTGCTTCATGGTGTCTGCTTGCAGCTAAAATGATTTCAGAATAACTTCCTTTCTTTTCTCCTCATTGCTCGTCTTTCACCAGCACCAAACCAAACCCGAATCAGATCATGGGTCCAGGCAGCAAGCCTGGTATGAATGGGGCCGCAGGTTTTCAGAAAGGACTCAGCTGTGAGAGCTGCCACAGTAAGTACTGAAACATCAAATTACTATCATGAACATGAAAACTTCTAGTCTACAAAAGTATAAAATGTCTCATTTTAATGAAAAAATTGAGTAAATTAATTTTTAACCTCCAGTTTGTTTTTAAAGCACTTAACTAGTTCATTAAGTTTTAAACAAAGAAGTTACAATTGCAAAAACTGTTATTTTTACCATAAAAAAGTTTTAAAAAAAAATTCTTCCTTCTAGTATTTACCGTATTTTCCACCGTACACGTCGTACTGTCCTATAAGTCACATCAGTCCAAAAATGTCTAATAAAGTGGAAAAATCCATAAATATGTTGCTTCATCATATAAATCACATCTATTACGCGTCACCGCTGACCACCCGGAAACGTGGGCCGGTGTTGTGCCAAAAATCAATTGGCTGCTAAATGGCGGCTGTGGGAGCGTGCACGGGAGGACTTTAACAAGAATTTAACAAGATAAACACTTAAAAACAATTATTAGTTTGCTCGACATTATAGTAAAGGTGTGTCTCAGTTGGACTTTTACTTAATAAATGCACTTTAATGGTCAAATTAACTGCATTTCACCGGGGCGATGCAGCGAAATGAAGCTGATTTGACGTTTGCTGTAAGAGAGCTGGACGAAGTTGGCAGGCTATGGCAAGCCGATTGTGTCATTAATAGCCTATTTTACCTATTACATGACACAACAGCATGCCATACTACTGAGTGCCATCTAGCGGCTGAAGATGGTAGTGTTCAATATTTTCATTCAGAATGAATTAACATGATCATATCTCAGCCAAAAATTGGTTTATAAATATGAAATAAATCCATAAATAAGTTGCTTCGGTGTATAAGTTGCAGGGCATGTAAATTATGCAAAAAAACACGACTTATAGGGCAAAAAATATGTTATTTACATATGAAGTTTCAAGTTTTAAACTGCTTTAGTTCAGCAACCATAGTGACGATGATCTACACCAAAGACTTACAGATGAGCTATAAGGCAAGGTTTAAATACACACGTCTTCGGTTTAACTTCATGTTTACAAGTTCAAAATGCTTAACCCCTCAACAATCTGTGAATAATACACACACACACACACAAAACAAGAAAGGTGTTAAATCCCCTATCATTTTATCATTTTAGACAGCGTTGTCCAAAGTATGGCCCAAGGGCCATTTGCAGCCCTTGGAGTGATTTTGTGCAGTCCAAGAAGACAAATTAAGTTTAACAGAAAAACGTATGAAAAAAATTATTTGCTAAATGAGCAATATTAATCCATCCATCCATTATCTTTACCTGCTTCTTCCATTTTGGGTCACGGGGGTCGCCGGTGCCCATGTCCAGCAATCACTGTGCAAGGGGCGGAGGACACCCTGGACGGGTCGCAAGTCCATCACAGGGCCACATAGAGACAAACGAGACAAACAAACATTCACTCTCTCACTCACACCTAGGGACAATTTAGAGTTACCAATCAGCCTAACATGCATGTTTTTGGTCTGTGGGAGGAAACCGGAGTACCCGGAGAAAACCCACGCATGCACGGAGAGAACATGCAAACTCCACCCAGACAGGTCCCTGGACCGAGGTTTGAACCAGGGACCTGCTCGCTGAGAGGCAGCAGCTCTACCAGTTGCGCCACCGTGCTGCCCTAAATTAAATCCTTTCTTTTTAAATATATGATTATTTATGAGGCTTTTAATGTTTTGGATTTACAATTTAGAACTCCTCCACCAAAACTGGTAGTTTTGTCTTTTCTCCGAAATATTGTTTACGTTGTTGAGTTTAAAACGGAGAGAATTCACAAAAAATATGCACATTTATGTATTAATTAATACATTTGTTTTACGTTATTATTATCTTAAATTTGAGTTTTTGGGGCTTGCAAGTACTTTCATCTTGACAGTTTAGTCCCACAAGTGAAAAAGGTTGGACCCTAACTCGGTACCTCCTTTGTAACGCAGCGGCCCAGTCTCCTCAGTGGTATGCTTGGGGTCCTCCAAACATGCAGTGCAGACTTTGTGCTTCTTGTTGGATCTACTGGAAGAAATATGGTGGTCTGAAGACGCCCACACAGCTAGAGGGAGCTGCTAGGGCGGGTTCTGTAAGTCTCAACTGCTGTTGATTAAATCCTGAAGTGGATCATTTCGAGCTGCCTTCATTTTTTTCCACTCTGCTTCCTGTTCAGGAGTCAGGCCCCCGTGCTCATATGACACGGCAGGAAGTCCAGGGCATGTCGCCGTTTACCCGTAATGAGGGGCGAGCCAAGCTGCTGGCCAAGAACCGGCAGACTTTCATTCTGCAGACCACCAAACTAACCCGCATCGCCCGGCGCGTGTGCGAGGACATCTTGCAGCCGCGGCGGGCAGCACGCAGACCTTACGCATCTATCAACGCTAACGCGGTCAAAGCCGAGTGTAAGTACACACTCAGTTTGTTTCTAATCACGTTTTGGCGTTCGCTGCTTTATTTTGTGCTTGTATCAAAATCAGATAATGGAAAAGTCCAATCCTTTTTTAGCTTTATGTGTTTGTTTGTTTCTTCAGGCATAATCAGGCTGCCCAAAGCCACCAAAACTCCTTTAAAGAGCAAGCTGGTACCTCGACAGTCCCTGGCCACCATAGTGAAGGATTTAGGTGAGTCACATGACCAGGACACCTGATTAAAAATTACCTAAAAAAAAAAATCTGCTCTTTCTGCTTCTCGACTTCATAAACAGATTTATGTACAATTATTATTAACTAAATGTGTATCATAAAAACTATTAAAGAAAAAAATCCCAACTAAGTAACTGAAAACCAAACAATAATTTTATTACTCCTTGTTTATCTTAAACTTTACCACGTTTGGTTTTGAACCATTCACCAGAGGTAAAGGCTGCAGACATGACAGTGGAGATTATTTTATTTATTTATTCCTGAAACATTGTTGTTTTTCACCACCACCACACAGGTTCACTGAGAAGAAAGGGTTTTTATTATTTTTTGCTTTTCATTTATGAGAATAGTTGTAATATTGAGGTTGTTGTTGTAATGTTGAGAGTAAAAATCGTAATCAGGATAGTAAAGTTGTAATCATGATAGTAAAATCGTAATTTTGATATTAAAGTCATAATGTTGTCAGTACAGTCGTAACATTGACATTAAAGTAACGTTGACATTAAAGTCATAACATCAACATTAAAGTCTTAACATCAACATTAAAGTAACGTTGACATTAAAGTCATAACATCAACATTAAAGTCTTAACATCAACATTAAAGTAACGTTGACATTAAAGTCATAACATCAACATTAAAGTCTTAACATCGACATTAAAGTCATAACATCGACATTAAAGTCTTAACATCAACATTAAAGTCATAACATCGACATTAAAGTCCTAATGTCGACATCAGTACATTAATGGGCTCAACATTAAAGTCGTAATGGCGACATGAGCACATTAATGTCATAACGTCAATCACAGCAGTGGGACTGCCTTGTTTCTGTGTTTTTAGTTCCTTGGCTCTAATTTAATGTTTTCTTTATTCTCTGGATCTTTTGACGTACTCTGAACAGTTTTGTTGTTCCTCTAGCTGTCTCAGCTCCTTTGAAATTGAAGGCATCCAGAGGCCCCCCAACACCCATCAACAGAAACCAGGTCAGCCAGCCTCGAGTGGCCCAAAGCCTGCTGGGAAAGAGAGGTTTTGACTCGGTCAGTGTTCTCCTGCCCCTTCATGTTGTATTTTTATGCCCTGTTGGGATAAGACCTGTTCTCTAGCGGCATGAGCTGTCGTTCATCTGATTTTTCATTGGTCCACAGGCTGCAGGGGTCCCCTACCCTACCAACGGGAGGCCGTACACTTCAGGCATGAGGACCACCTCCCAGTCAGTCATCAAGCGGCAGAAGGTCAGCCAGGGAGAAGCTCCTAACCCTGTGGTGTTTGTGGCCACCAAGGACACCAGGTACACTTCATTATGACTGCACCATAACTTCATGTCCAGGAGACCTGAATGTGATGGTTCCTCTGGATCGAAGCTATGGAACCTAAGAAGGGAAAATCTAAAAACTGCACAGGTTTAGTTAAATAACAAAGACTGGCAAGATAGTTCATCTGTAGTCAGAACTAAAATTTTGTGTGGTAGTAGTTGAGAGTCACACACAACATATAATCTAAGTGCTGACTGATTGCTCAAGACCTTTACTTAAATCTTTACCATTAACTACTGGAGTCAACTCTGTCTGTTAGCAAAATATCTCATGAACTGCTGGTCAGAATAATGAATTGTATGTACGTCTACGGTTGATTAAATTTTGAAGCCAACCTACGGTAATTCAAAATGGCTTCTAATGCTAACCCCAGCCAGGAGGTTTATGGATAATATGATTTCTGAATATGAGTTTGAGGAAGGAGAGGAGGAAACTGAAGGAGGCCTTAACAGCACTGGTGTCCTGCAATACTCGTGACGTCCTCCCTGACCAGCACCATCAGAAAGGAAACAAACTCCATACATGATCAACTAGAAACACTTGAAACTGACTCACAGAGAGAACATTGTGCACTGTGGGAACAACATTTTGAAGTTAAACACAGACAGCCCTTTGCTATAATCTTGGGCATACGAATATTTGTATTTTAGTGTAAATAATGCTTCATTCTAAGAACTGAAGCAGCAGAAAGGGGGAGGGGGGAACACACGAACAGGCTGCGTGCTCTCACGATAGCTAACGCAGCCTAACGCCTCGCGTTCTCTCTGTTAGCAGCGGTTATCCTGGATAGTGGTTGAGAAAAGGCAGACACTGTAGTGAATGACTTTCAGCTACTACCACATACTTTAACCTCAGTGTCTGTAACTCAACTGAACTGTAGCTGTTTTGTGTTCATTATGTAATATAGTAATAATATTAATTCAATCCAGTTTATTTATATAGCACCAAATCACAACAAAGTTGCCTCAGGGTACTTCACAGGAACATTCACATACAAAGAAAAGTCAGTAAAGTTCTCTATCTAAGGGGCCGTTTACACGGCACATATTTTGAGTTCATCCACAGCTTTCTCTCTGTGGTTCTGCTGATCATTTACACGACACCAGTGCCCCCCCCCCCCCCCCCTCTTTGAATCCGGAGTTTTCTGAACCCACCTTCCAGAGTGGAGGTTTATGATAATGTAAACTTCTCCTGCTGAGGCTTTCTGTTAAACCACATGCGCACACGCTAGGGGTATGAACGAGTATATAATTTTTAAACTCGACATTAACTTAATAAAACCCGAGTAGAACTCGAGTATTTGATGACGTCATAGATCTCAAGATACAAAAATAAATAAATAAATAAAACCGCAAAAATAGGTAATTATGTACAACAAAAAAAGACCAACAAAACATTGGGAGCGTATATTATGCTCCTACCATTTATCATACTGCAAATAAGTCACAGGAAAAACTAAACTATTAGTTATTATTATTAAACTGCAAACGTGCAGAAACCGCACGTCAAAAATGAAACTAAAAACAGTGGGGGGGTCGACCACCTCGCACCACCGCCAGCTGTGGTGCACATTAAGTTTAGTTTTAGAGATTAATATGTTTATAGATTTTATTATAGGTTTAGAGATTAATATTTTTTGCTTTTTGTTTGTGAAACAAGGTCAGAGGAAGCTGGTTCTGGTTCGGTGGATTGGACCCGGTGTTACACCATATTCTGTGACCTGCAACAGTGCAACACCGCCCCCTACGGTCATACGGTGGTCACATAATAAGACATCACTACGGTTACTCGACGTTACATTTTTAACCTCGATAGATGTCCTAGCAATCGATGTGTAGATTACTCGAGTACTCTGTTAATGCCCTAGCACACGCACGTGCGGACAGACGCTATATTTCTATCAACATGGCGGCGGACACACTGCTTTCAGAACTACGACTGATGGAATATATTTTTAATCTCGTAGTTAATCTACGTCAGATTCCAGGTGCTGTGACCGACATCTGTGTTGGAAGAGACACAATCTGATCCAGTTCTAATGTCGCTGTTTATAGAACGTGGCACGCGCACACGTCGCGCTGCACTATAACATCTAAATGTGCTAAATAATAAGTTTAATAATAATAAACAGTATTTATGTTAGTGTGCGAGATGCATGTAAACACAAAATATGACCGTGTCAACGCAAATCTTTTCCTCTAATTAACGTACGAAAAAACCTAAGTTTCCCCCCATTGTGTCTGTGTAAATAGGGCCTAAAGAAGCAGCAGACGAGTTGAATCTTCACTTCATCACAGTCTCACATCCTGAGCAAGCACAAAGGAGACAGTGGGAAGGAAAAACTCCCTTTTAACAGGAAGAAACCTCCAGCAGAACCAGGCTCAGGACAAGCAGTCATCTGCTTTGACCGGCTGGTTAGAGAGGACAGGAAGAGACAAACACAGAATGGCAGGTCCAGGTGTATCTGAAAGACAAAAACCACGTTAACGATAGAAAAAATAATTACAAATACAAAACATGTTGAGCAGAGTAAGTAAAGAGAGCAGCAGAGTGAGGAAATGTGCTCAGTTTGTCCTCCAGCAGTCTAAGTCTATAGCAGCATAACTAAGGGACAGCTCAGGAAACCCAAGTCAACCCTAACTATAGGATTTATCAAAAAGGAAAGTCTTGAGCTCAGTTTTAAAACTGGACAATGTGTCAGCCTCATGGACAGAAACTGGAAGTTGGTTCCACAAGAGAGGAGCCTGATAACTGGAAGATCTGCCTCCCATTCTGCTTTTGGAAACTCTAGGAACCACAAGTAAACCTGCAGTCTGAGAGTGAAGTGCTCTGTTAGGAACACATGGAACAATAAGATCTGTAATATAAGATGGAGCTAGGTTGTTGAGAGCTTTGTAGGTTAGAAGTATATTACCTTCTGAGATTTTCATTAGTCTACCCACTAGTTCATGAGGTATTTTGCTAACAGACAGCGCCTCCTGGCAGCAGGTGCTGATGAATTGTGTAATGTTTTGTAAACCCTGATCCAGACTCATCATGAAGATCTAAAACTCTCAGAAAAGACGGTCTTTGGTCATATTTAGTTTTTGCTGGTTTTGTTCCAACAGGGCTCTGAGGAAACACCTGACCCAGTCAGAGATGCGCCGGGCGGCGAGGAAACCTCACCTCCTGGTCCGGATCAAGCTGCCGCCGCCGCCCCGCTCGCTGGCCATGCCCCTCGTTCCCTCAAACAGCAGCGAGCCCATCGTCCTGGAGGACTAAAGGGGGACGGGCTGGGGGACACGTGACAGGACATGGGTTAGGGAGGGTCTGTGCTCGAGTCCTGTCTCACTGGCAGCACAGAACGCCATACAGTACTTTACTTTGTCCTCTTTTCACCGTCAGGGTTCTTTAGTCCTCGTTTTCTTCCCTTTATTCAACACACACACTCACACACACGCAGGTCGACGACAGAACATTTTCAGCTTCTTATTAAAGCAGATCCTCAACACTTTGGGCTCTGTAGTGTTTCCTTGCAGGTCCAGCAGTTTTTAAACGCTCACATTTCTCACTCCAAAACAACAACAACCAAGCACATTTAGTTTTTTTTTTCTCTCCTGCATTTTTCTATTTTTGTTGTAAATATTTGTGGAATTGAAGGTGAGACCGCTGCGGGTCGAAGGTGCTCCCTGATTGGACGATTTCAGTCTTCGTTTCAGCAGCGGGACACGGCGAGTGGAGGAGACGAGTCAGCGGATGAGGCCCACCTGCCGTGGCGCGTTGTGATCGTCCCGTTCAGCTCTGCATCGCGTCAGAGCACGGAGCTCGCTTCGGCTGTGTGTTTCAGCTGTTTCACATCAGCTGCAGAAACCTCTCACTGGAGGACGATGTCTAACATTCCACTTTGACCCAGACAGGTGGAAAAATGTTTTTTTTTTTTAGAATTTATTTCCTTATTTATATATATATATACAGATTTTGATTTGACTACCAAACTATTGTTTTTGTTTTTTAGACAACCAAACTTTTTTAGCAGAGCGTTAGGGCCACTCAAATATACAAATCCAAGAGCAAGTTTTATTTTTATAACATTTTTGACATTAAAGTCAAAATGTTGAGTAAAAAGTTCGACTAATTTCAGAAAAGAATTACATTATTGAAGACATTTTGTTGTTCCTGTGACACCGAGGATTATGGGTAAATATCCTGATGCATGCTCAATAATCCAGGTAGAAAAATCTAAAAGAGTTCAATCTGGTCCTCTGGACATTCAAAAAAACAAAACAAAGCAAAAAAAAAAAATATAGAAACGTTTCGTCTCTCATCCGAGAGACTTCCTCAGTCTGAGGTGCTGTTTTCAGCTCAGTCTCTTAAATAGCACCTTCTCAGAGTGGATCAACCAGTTTTGCTGCTGACAACCAAAACCAGCTGATCACATGCTCAAGAAGGACCATCAGCCTAACAATGGATCATTAGCACACTGATGGCTGTTTACTATTCACAGAGGGCTGAGTGATACTAGCAATCACAGCATTGTAAGAGGGGGACAGTTGAACCCGGAGGCCTCCACCCCTGTTTAATGATGGACGGTTTCTTTTCACAAAGATGGCCTCCTTTACTCCTCTCTCAAACCATCGTTCCTCTCTGTCCAGGATGTGAACATCTTCATCCCTGAAAGAGTGACCGCTGGCCTGGAGATGAGTGTAGACCACAGAGTCCTGGCCTGATGATGTTGATCTTCTGTGCTGGTCCATCCTTTTGGCCAGTGGCTGTTTAGTTTCCCCGATGTAAGACTGATCACCCTCCTGACACTGAACAGCATACACAATATTACTGTTTGTGCCGGGGGACTGGATCTTTGGGATGAACCAGTCTTTGATGTAATGTATTTTGGGGTTTAAAAGCCACTGGGACGTTATGTTTAGAAAATAAACGTCTCAGTTTCTCTGATACTCCCTCAACATATGGAATGACCACTGGTCTGGGTCTGGGTTCCTCCTTTTCACCTGATGGCTGACTGGAGTCCTGTTTGGGTTTCTTCTCTGCTTTCAGGAAGGCCCAGTTAGGATATCCACATTGCTCTAGAGCCTGTCTTGTTCTGCCTGGTTCAGCCATCAGTGTGCTAATGATCCATTGTTAGGCTGATGGTCCTTCTTGAGCATGTGATCAGCTGGTTTTGGTTGTCAGCAGCAAAACTGGTTGATCCACCCTGAGAAGGTGCTATTTAAGAGACTGAGCTGAAAACAGCACCTCAGACTGAGGAAGTCTCTTGGATGAGAGACAAAACGTTTCTATATTTTTTTGCTTTTTTTTGTTTGTTTTGTTTTTGTTTTGTTTTTTAATGTCCAGATGTTTTGTTTTTTAATGTCCAGATGTAACTTTTTTAGATTATGGGTAAACCGCTAAATAACTGTTAGAAACAATAAAACAAAGGAAAGGCACTTTTTTCTCATCGTTCCAACTTTAATTACAAAACTAATCTAAAAAAAAAAAAAGTTTTTTTCTCTTCTGAGCAGCCCTGATGTGCAATCGGACACTTTAATGTTTTAGTTGTAAAGTTTTTGTTTTTACTGAACTCAGAAGAGGAAACTGTTGTGATCGCTTCTGATCATTGGCTTTAATTAAACTGTTTGATCACAGTTGGTATAAAAAAATGGACAAACATTTTTCTTTTCCTTTTGAATTGTTGATTTTGTTCCTGTGACCTGGAAGCTGTTCTGAAGCAGCAGCAGCCATGTTCTTGTGTGCGTTCAGCTCGTTCCTCCTGTTCTTCTATACGCTCTGGTACCGTGGATAAACTCAAAGTTTAAAAAACGACGAGGATCCACAGCGTCAGCCGCTTCTGTCCCGTTTCTTTAAAAAGAAACGAGTGAGCTGAAGCTTACACCGAGCCTTTTTCAGTACGATGTCTAATTCTGCTCAACAAACGTTGTCTCGCAGAGGGGACATGTCCTCCATCAGGTGGGAGGACGAGTCTTTTCTAACCAGGAGACACCATTAAAAGGTTTTTGTAAGAGAAACTAACATTCTACAATTTTCTCAAGGTTTTTATTTTTATTCTGTCTGTATCCTTCAATGCAACTTGATAAGAAAAATAAAGGTTTTCCTTGTGGTCACATGGTTTCTGGTTGGATGTGTGGACACGTGGACAACATCTGGACTCAGATGCAAGTCCTGTTTAACACAGACGCGAGTCTGACATAATTTTTTTTAATAAATGTGAATGCATTTTTAGATAGAGAACTAATAACTTATTGCAAGAACTATTTTCATGCTACTGAAATAAGCAGCAGAAATGTTCTCATGTGAAGTAACAGGAAGTGATGTGAAAGGCATCGCTCTAAGGATTAACAAGGCAGACAGCAGAATAATCTCATATTTTTATTTAGATTAATTTGAGTCACTGTCAGATGATTTTCAATAAACAAAGACCCGGAAGTTCCCCTCTGATGTCACTTCCTGTTTCACTGCACCGAGTTCAAAAGTAAACGTGTCTGTTATGAGACGAAAATGAGTCAAACCTTGCATGTTGTACTAAATGTCCAAAATAAGATGTTTTCTTCCATTTTCTATGCACAGACACTTTAAACTTGTAGATGCTTCATGTTCAGCTGATTCGATGACGTCAGCCTCCGTCTCTTAAATATGTAAACAACAACAAAGCCTCACTTGGCGCCGTCTTGTCCTGCAGCCACAGTTTCTTTAAACTCTCTAAAGTCCAACTCGAGCCGCCGTCTCCCAGTATAAAAACATATATATATATATATATATATATATATATATATACACACACATACAGGAATAGTATATAAATGTCCGTTCGGCTGGTTACGTTTCTACCTGGGACGTGACGTCACCCCGTGGTCTGAAGCAGGCTCCTGATTGGTAGCCGAGCTGCACCTGCAGCACACCTGATGGCAATTTAACCATCAGGTGTTGAACAAACTCCTCCAGTTAAAAGACGAACATGTTTGTGCGCCTCGGACAGAGTGCTGCACGGTGAGCTGTAAATGAACTACCTGCTCTGAGCCGCCATGTTGGAGGTAAGCTGACCAGGTTCAGTGAAGACATGACCTGTGGGGGTTTCTGTCATTCATTCAATATTTTACTTACACTGAGCCATGGGGACTCATTTACAAGAAAGACCTGTTCCAGACAGAACATATGAAGTACAGACAATAAGAAACTACAGTAAAATGCAGTTAAAATCTGAGTAGTGTACAAAACAATAAATCAGGGTGCCATAAAACAAGGTGAAATACTAAAAACCAAAACGGATTTGCTTAATTTTTCTATTGACACTTTCAAATGTTTGAAACTTGTTAAAGAAATTAAGGTGGACAACTTTAGTTCCTGTTGCAAGTTGTTCCAGGAGCTGAGTAGGAGAAGGCCTTTTGCTGAGTTCAGTCCACAGTGGGGGAACACTGCAGGTAACTCATTTTGCAGGATTCTTGTGCAAGATGCACCACTATTTGTCTGAATCTGATCCAGAATCAGCTCTTGACATCTGGTCCGTTTTTATAAGCTGAGCTCAGGTTTGCTGTAGCTGATGGTCATCGTGCTCTGAGCAGCTCACGGTCTCTTCAGTAATGTTGAAACAAATTATCTGCTGGATAATAACTGTTTATACCAGAGGACTCTGAGGACCGGCCCAGTCTGCACACAAATGACCAACCTTTTCCTCAAATCACTTAAATGTATTTATTGGTTTACTGGTTCCTTCAGTCTTGTCTCGTGCAGGGAGAGTGAAGTCTGAGATGGACTCAGCTGGACTAGAACCAAAACGCCTCGCGTTGGATCATTTTACTGCCTGAAGGATCTCCCGTCTTTCATTTCTCAATCATCAAACCAAATGTTTGACTGTAGAACGTTCTTCACTTCATTCATCTTTGTCTCACCAGTCCATCAAGAACGTTTGAGGCCTGTCTCTGGTAACATCCAGACAGACCTTCCTGTTCTTAATGCAGGTCCTGCATCTCCTCTGGACTCTTGCTGGAGGTCTCGTCACTCTTGGTGGTTCTGTCACTAACAGCTGTTTGAGACTTTTTTTTTTTTTTTCCCCAAACCTCCATATTTCTGTCTTTAACTGACGTTTGCATCTGTCTTCCTGTTAGACGTCTGTCTGTGGTTTCTTTCTTCAGGTCGTTCCTAACTGCTGGGCTGGTTCTGATCAATGTGCAGTTGAATGTTCTCACCTTCACGTTTACTTGTGTTCACTCATGGACAGCTGTGGTTTTCTTGCTGGTTACATCTGAATGCAGTCTGAGATGTTCAGAGCTGTTCGTCTACAGAATCTGTGATGGACGCACCTGTCACATGTTCCAATTCTTCTGCTTTACAAATTCCAAGTCCTGTATCAGATCCAGATGGAAACGCCTGGAAAATACAGCTCAAATATTTTTATTTTTATTTCAAACCCAAATGTTTCAGTCGACTGTTCCAGTACCAAAAATGATCTGACATGGAAGGCGGCAGGTGACGTGCATTCCTGTAGGGAATACTTAACCTTGAAGATGTAAGGCCTTTGACAGAAGATGCAAGTAGGCCTGTCACGATAACAAATTTTGTTAAGGGATTTAATTCTCAAATTATTGCGATTAAACGATATTTGATTTTTGACAATTGGTAATTGTCAAATTTAGGAAGAAATGTTGGTTAATTGTTCAAAAAGCGTTCAATACAAAAACAACTGGACTTTATTTGTAACAGAAGACGTTTCGCTCCTCATCCGAGG